GACACCTTATATTGAAAAGTAGCAACATCTTTGAATTTTTGAATGGGACACACTATATATTATTCCATCCTATAGAGCTGATTTTATCAATATATCGCACTTGGGGTATAGCGGGAATGATAACAAAGATATAGGGTGTGAGAAATCGAGATTTTTCAACTTTAAGAATTTCTTTTTTCGAAACTATTCATAATTGGCAAAACGGTTTTTATGTCCCTATCTCAACTTTTCATGGACTAGCAATTGATATTTAATTGAAATAGATACAGGGTGGCTGAAAATCTTAATTCCTAACTACCCTGTACTTATTTCAATATCAATTGATAGTGAATAAAAAGTTGAGATAGGAACATGGAAACCGTTTCAACCAATAATGAATAGTTTCGACACAAAAAAATCTGAAAAAGTTGAAAAAATCTCGATTTTTCACAACCTATATCTCTGTAATTGTCACTGCTGGACGCTAAGTGTTCTAGGTATCGACCTAAAATATTTCCAGCGCTGCGACGTTGCCGCTTATATTGAAAAGTAGCAACAACTATGATTTGTTAAGACACCCTGTATATTATTCCATCTTCAGATTCTCCCTGAAGAGCTGATTTCATTGACCTAGAACACTTAGCGTCCAGCAGTGACAATTACAGAGATATAGGTTGTGAAAAATCGAGATTTTTTCAACTTGAATATTTTTTTGTGTCGGTTAAAACGGTTTCCATGTTCCTATCTCAACTTTTTATTCACTATCAATTGATATTGAAATAAGTACAGGGTGGTTAGGAATTAAGATTTTCAGCCACCCTGTATCTATTTCAATTAAATATCAATTGCTAGTCCATGAAAAGTTGAGATAGGGACATAAAAACCGTTTTGCCAATTATGAATAGTTTCGAAAAAAGAAATTCTTAAAGTTGAAAAATCTCGATTTTTCACACCCTATATCTTTGTTATCATTCCCGCTATACCCCAAGTGCGATATATTGATGAAATCAGCTCTTTAGGATGGAATAATATATAGTGTGTCCCATTCAAAAATTCAAAGATGTTGCTACTTTTCAATATAAGCGGCAACGTCGCAGTGATGAGAATAATGAATTATCTAAGAAACCAAATTTTCAGTATAATCCTACGTTGCGTTTTCCAGAAACGTCTGACGTGCCATCCACCTTGAATCAGCCTGTATAGTCACATCAACGTTTAACAATATTCATTAAAATGTATTATTCACCAAACCGAAAATATTTCGAAAAAATACTAAGATTTGGTTTTTATTTTATTTTCCTATTGTAATTTTCAAAATTCTAAAATCTACAGGGTTTTTCAAATTTTAATCGGGAAAATTTAATAGGCAATAGAACTGCTGAAATTAAAAAAAAAACATGTGAACTTGTATGTTTTTGAGCGTCGTTATCGAGAGACAAGGTGTTGAAGTCTTTTGAAAAAAAAAATCTCATTCACATTCGATACGATTTGAACAATATCGTGTTAGATTGAGAAAATGAAAAAAAGTACTTATAGGATACTCAACTACTTACATACTTTTGGCCTGGGACGAAATATTTTATAAGTAATGATTGAGAAGTAAAAATTAGAATTTAAAAAAGCAAAAATAACTTCGCTAAGAAAATATTAGAATTTAATCAAACCAGCACCAAGTACAGCTTTTATAATTATTATTGTAATTAAGAGGAAGTATAACTTTTGATTCAGAAAGCATAACACGTAATTCAGAGAAGTATATTGAATTTCAGGAAGTGCTCTTGGAGATTATTTAGTGAATGCTATTCAAAAAGCATCAATATTGATTCAGAAAGCATTCCTTGGAATTCAGAAACCACCTGAAGAGATCAACTTTCTATACTAGTAAAACACATGTTTCTATTAGTAATAGGAACGTCAACTTCAATGACAAATTTTGGTATTATAAGAAATTACCATTTTGAGCGATAGCTTAAATATAAATGATTTCAAAGTTTCAAAACATTGTCGTCATTCTTATGTATGTATATGGACAATGTATCGATGTTATTTCTACAATGACTCACAGCATAATGATTCAAAATGCTTGAATGCTCTTCTGGGAATATACAATGCAATCGTGAAGTCATCATCAACAAACAGGAATGTCAATGTGAACATATTTTTCGTCACTTTTATTTTAAAATGTAATAATTAACGGTAAACACCACTTGAATAACATGAAAATTCATGGAATCAATATAAACACGTGGAAATAAGTTTGGGATATAGAAAAGTTGAAAAAACTTGAAAAATATTAATGAATCTTGAATTGAGGTGCATTTTTCGATCATTTTAGCACTTTTCTACCATTTTATTTGGAGTGGACATCAACAATATTGCTATCTGATACTCTTTAAAAGCCAATGATATATTTTGAGAGTAATGCAAAGAGGATTTAATTTGCATAATTGATATAAGTATGTCAACAGAAATAAATTTAAAAACAAAATGTATATACAGGGTGATTCAGGTTTTAAGGCACAAAACTGAAATGGAAGATAGATCTCATTTTAATCAAAAAAGTTTATATAAACATTAGTCCGATCTCGTTCAATAGCGGAGCTACAGGGGGTCAAAGCTGAATTATTTTCTTCTATTAGTTGAAATATCTCGCTTACTTTTTGAGATATCATTTTGAATTTCGGTGTGGTCAATACTTCCTAGAAGATGATCATTTCAAGCCATCTAAAGATTTCCAAAATCTACAGGGTGATACGTTTATGGGGGTAGACGCGTCCTTATTCCCCTCAAACTTTTCCGTAATACGCCTCTGGCATCTTTCAGTGATCAAATTATGTGGATCGATCAATTTAGAGGCTTTTTTTGCTCCTCAAGTTTTTTCGAGAAACGAACCGTTTTTGAGATAAATAAGCATATACGTTTTAAAATATGTTAATTTTGCCTATGTTTCGCTTGAATTTTATTCAACTGAAAAAAAAACCTTGACTTTTTACCATCTGTATCCCCAATCTATGCCCCAATACTGATCCAGATTGGACTCGTGATTGCAATTTCAGTGAGTACATTTCATTGCATTTTCAACGAAAATAAAATTTAAGCGAAACTTCGGCAAAATTAACATGTTTTAGAACGTATATGCCTATTTATCTCAAAACCGGTTTGTTTCTCGAAAAAAATGGAAGCGCAAAAAAGCCTGTGAATTGAACGATTCACACAATTTGATCACTGAAAGATGCCAGAGGCGTACTAAAAAGTTTGGGGGGGATAAAGAAGCCTCTACCCCCAAAAACGTAACTCCCTGTAGATTTTCAAAATCTTTGAATGGCTTGAAATGATGATCTTCTAGAAAGTATCAACCACACCAAATTTCAAAACGATATCTTGCAAAGTAAGCGAGATATTTCAATTAATAGAAAAAAATAATTAAACTTTGACCCCCTGTAGCTCCGCTAATAAACGAGATCGGACTTATGTTTATATGAACTTTTTTGATCAAAATGATGAGATGTATCTCCCATTTCAGTTTGTGCCTTAAAACCTGAATCACCCTGTATATCTGATGAAATAAAGCAGCAGAATATCGAATACTTTTTTTAATGTCACATAATTGCTTTCCAATCTAACAGTATCTTCATTTTTGCGTGATATTATCTACTATTCTGAATACTTGTGAGATATATAAAATATCAAATAGAAAATACATTTTTTTGAGTTTGTAACGTCTATTAATATCTTTCATGGGATTTTCGCTCTACAAATTCATTGCCATATACCTCTTTTGCTATTCAGGAATATGACATAGATCACCAGTGATGCGTGTGTTGAATAATTCAAAATCATTAGTGAAGTATGAAAAATGGCATATGGTACGCGAGCACTGTGTGTGTCAACTTTTATCAGAAATCGTGATAGAAAGTAGTTGTTGTTGATGATACTTGACCGAAAATATGAATTTGGTGAAGAAGTAGAGAATAATATTCAGGAACACTGGCGTTTTAATACTTTAAGGCCGGAGTTTCGTTTTAAACGTATAGTCAAGGTGGGTGACCTTGAAACCGCCAAGATGCATTGAAACTTTATAATTTCATAACTATGTTTGTTCACCCCTTATAGTTTGGTGATTTGTTATTTTGCATACCTGAAACTGATATAAAGATTTAATAGTCTTTCTAGTTTGGATTGATACTGAATATAGTACACACACAATTCGACGAATTACTTCTTTCGAAGCATCATCAAGCTCCTTCAATTTTATTCTCACCCTTCCTCGTTCAACACCAAGATCCACAATATCTCCGGTTCTAATAACTCTAAAAATGGTATCACGACTTATTCTAGTCAATTTCTGAATTCTCTTCACAGGCTGGGTATCCGAAGAACCATTACTTGAGACACACAAATAGATGTTCAAAATCACCCTTGAAGTGGGAACGTGTGAGTCTTCATGGCGAACTTTGCTTACTCTAGGTACGAATCACTAACACTTACTCCGTTGGCTTCCTTCAAAGGTCTCCAAACCGCTAAAGCTATTTAATTGTGAATCAGAAAAAGGAAATTCTACGATTGAAATAATAAATTTTCTGAATTTCGAATAGAACCAGTAATCAGTAAAAAACTTTGTTACAACGCATCACCGTACCGCATCCTGATTCAGCATTAAGTATAATGGGTGGAACCAATGAGATGCGTTGTGTAACAGCTCTTTATCCAGTCCTCATTGACTACATACCGAGAAAGCTCAATATAACATATATGTCATTTATTCCTATTAGAATGTAGAGTGTATACTGATGAATCCTTGCATCATCTTCAGAAATGGTAGTATCTCAACTGACTTTTAAAACTATACTAATATGTTTGTGGTGTATTACCGACTTAGTCGGGTCCCGAGCACAAAAGTGAGACAATTCGAGACATGAAAACTTCCACTGTTGAAATATTTCAATAACTCATCACTTTGCACAATAATTTCCAAAAATTTGGACACTGTCATTAACCTGAAGCGCTAAAAAAACCCTAACCTTGGAATGAGCGCCAAGGAATTGCCTATCGTCGAAATGCTCGACGCTCCAAGACGTCCTCCTGCTGTCTACCAGCGAATCAGAGGACGCCTTCTGCGCGCTACGCTTCTTCTGTGCGCCGACGTGATACTTGTTCCATGCGCTCTTTCTGCGCAGACATTCGCTGGACGTGTCGAGCGAGCCTTTGCGTAGCGTCTATAAGGATCTCAATTCTGTTTCCACTGAAATTACTTTTTTGTAGTCATCTAGCCAACTGTATTGAACGTCATGAGTGTCGAACCACGTTTCGCCTAGATTAACTATTATGTATATTCGCTTCACGGTTTTTTTTACTCATGTAGATACCTGACGATAATCATAACTCGGGTAGTCTTTCAACCCTTCCCAGATAGATTCTAATGTTGGAAACCCATTCTCTTCATTAAATCCATACACAATTCTGACAGATGACTTCCTCCGAAGCATCATCAAGCTTCTTGAGTTTATGTCTTAGTCTTTTTAGGTTAGCACCACGATCCACTACATCTCAAAACGCCATTATGTTCTAATTGCGAATCAAAACACGGAAACACTATAATAATAAATCTTCTGAATATCGAATAGAACCAGTTTTTAGTGAAACTTCGGACATTGTCATTAACCTAAATCGCTTGAAATACCCTAACCTTGGAATGAGCGCCAAGGAATTGCCTATCGTCGAAATGCTCGACGCTCCAAGACGTCCTCCTGCTGTCTACCAGCGAATCGGAGGAAGCGTTCTGCGCGCTACGCTTCTTCTGCGCACTGACGTGATGCTTGTTCCATGCGCTCTCTCTGCGCAGACATTCGCTGGACGTGTCGAGCGAGCCTTTGCGCAGCATCTATAAGGATCTTGATTCTATTCAGTATTTCCACTGAAATTACAGTTTTGTAATCATCTACCCGACCGTATTGAACGTCATGAGTGACGAACCAAGTTTCGCCTAGATCAACTATTATGTCTATTCGCTTCACGGTTTTCCTTTATTAATGTAGATACCTGACGATAATCATAACTCGGGTTAGTCTTTCAACTCATCCCAAATAGATTCTAATGTTGGCAACTTATTCTCTTCATTAAATCCATACACAATTCAGACAGATGACTTCCTCCGAAGCATCATCAAGCTTCTTGAGTTTATGTCTTAGTCTTTTTAGGTTAGCACCACGATCCAATATATCTCAAAACGCCATTATGTTCCAATTGCGAATCAAAACACGGAAACACTATGAATGAAATGATAAATCTTCTGAATGTCGAATAGAACCAGTGATTTATAAAAATTCGGACATTGTCATTAATCTAAAGCGCTCGAAGTACCCTAACCTTGGAATGAGCGCCAATGAATCTATCGTCGAAATGCTCGACGCTCCAAGACGTCCTCCTGCTGTCTACCAGCGAATCGGAGGATGCGTTCTGCGCGCTACGCTTCCTCTGTGCGCCGGCGTGATGCTTGTTCCATGCGCTCTCTCTGCGCAGACACTCGCTGGACGTGTCGAGCGAGCCTTTGCGCAGCGTCTATAAGGATCTTGATTCTATTCAGTATTTCCGCTGAAATTACAGTTTTGTAATCATCTACCCGACCGTATTGAACGTCATGAGTGACGAACCAAGTTTCGGCTAGATCAACTATTATGTCTATTCGCTTCACGGTTTTCCTTTATTAATGTAGATACCTGACGATAATCATAACTCGGGTTAGTCTTTCAACTCATCCCAAATAGATTCTAATGTTGGCAACTTATTCTCTTCATTAAATCCATACACAATTCAGACAGATGACTTCCTGCAAAGCATCATCAAGCTTCTTGAGTTTATGTCGTAGTCTTTTTAGGTTAGCACCACGATCCAATATATCTCAAAACGCCATTATGTTCTAATTGCGAATCAAAACACTGAAACACTATGAATGAAATAATAAACCTTCTGAATGTCGAAAAGAACCAGTGATTTATAAAAATTCGGACATTGTCATTAACCTAAAGCGCTCGAAGTACCCTAACCTTGGAATGAGCGCCAATGAATCTATCGTCGAAATGCTCGACGCTCCAAGACGTCCTCCTGCTGTCTACCAGCGAATCGGAGGAAGCGTTCTGCGCGCTACGCTTCTTCTGCGCGCCGACGTGATGCTTGTTCCATGCGCTCTCTCTGCGCAGACATTCGCTGGACGTGTCGAGCGAGCCTTTGCGCAACGTCGAGAAGAACTGGCTGGGGTGCTCCATGTCCTTGTGAGGCGGCAGGTGGGGGAATGCTAGCGAGCCGGACCTGGTATTTCAATGAAGGCTGAGAACGCTTATTCAGTTGATACTCCGGTCATACATACTGTGTCCGTCCTTGCTACTAATTTTTGAATCACCTGGTATATCGCAACGAAATTACGTAGGCTCAAATAGAAGATGGAAACCTCCTTTTTTATTCAGAGGCGACAGCTCAATTTCTCAAAATGGCGGCTGGAAGCCATCTTGATTTTTTATTATTTTTATATTCTATGTATTTTTGAAATCTCCTCATAATTCTCAACAGTTTTATCTCATATACTCTACTCCTAAATTCAATAGCTTTCGAAATATCTACGTTTGAAAAGTAACATTTTGATCATTTCGAACACAGCAAAAACTCGAATGTTGCTTTCAATTAACTTTGGTTTAGAAAAAAGTCGTTGTCGCGGTACCAACTTGATTTTTTTCCTAAGCAAACTTGATTGAGAACCACATTAGAGTTTTTGATTGCGTTTGAAATGAGGAAAATATTACTTTCAGAACTTTAATATTTCGAAAAATATTGAATTCAGGAGTAGACTGCATCAGATAAAACTGTTGGGAGACGTCGAAAATAGAATGTTCCATTTAAAAAAATATTCATGATGGCGCAATTTTAAAACTATGAGCTGTCGCTTTTTCATAAGAATATATATCTCCTATTTGAGCCTTCCGAATTTTGTTAAGATATACCAGGTGGTTCAAAAATTAGTTGTGGGGATGAAGAGGACTTTAGACGAGCACTGTATAGGGGTTTCACCACGGAATAAGAGATATTAAGCTGGAAACTCGTATACACCTTTGTTGACGTTGTTAAAGTTGTCTCGAAATTCTCATGAAATCTCGTGTTTGCGTCGTAAGTTATTCAAGGTCAAAGGTCACAAAAATGATTGCACTGTTTTTTAAAGTTTTTGGGTACTTGATTCTTCTATGATTAATTAGAGCTGAAGTGGTGTAGTGGGGAGCAGTTGTAAACAATCGTCTCCTCTCTGCAAAATAATACGCTAACTTCAACCTGCGTTGAACACCGCGTTTGAGACATGTATGGCACAAAAAAGTAGGAGCATGAATGATAACAAATTTCATTATTTAATCATTTTATGACATTGATATTTGACTTCAGATTACGTCGAATTCTTTCTATTATAAGTTGGTAAGTTCCTTATGAGAACATATATTTCTACCAACTTTAGCTAAATGAATTTGAAAGAAACTGGGAGATTGAGCTACTATCGACATATTTCTTATTATTTCATTTCACTTGAGTCGTTTAACCATATTTTATTTGTAAAAACTTTACAAACGATAAGATTTCAACAACATTCTCGAACACAGTATCTTCATCAGGTGATATACTGGTACAATGAACTAAACTAACCTTGGCTTGCCTAACTTTTATATATCCTACTTTCTCAGCCTGAACGATTAGTTACCTGTTCAATAAACCATTTTTTTTTTTCGGAAATTAGGCACAATATCTACATTGAAATACAGTGTACCGGATTAACTTGAAAGGGTTGATAACAAATACATATTATCCACTAAGAAAATGAATTCAACAGTGGTGAACTATTGAGGTCCAGTTGATCGTTAAGTAAAATGTTTGAGTTTGTTGATTTCTATTGATTCAAAATGATTGAGTTTTATTCCTTTATTTTCTAAATGTATAATTTCGAAATTATCATCATAACTATGATTTTGTACAAACTCAACTGTAGATCTTGTCCTAAGGTATATATATGTATATCGGTCAGACAGGTCGTACGTTCAATCAGCGCATTCATAGACATATGATGAGTTGTTTGAAAAAGAAAATAAATTCAACATACGCCAACCAGATTTTTGATGATAATTTCGAAATCCTAGACGTAAAATCGATGATTGTGATGTTGACATTTTTAGACTTCACGTTTCTTGGGCAGTTGATGTTGCGTGTCTTGAAGTGGTAACTTTTAGAACGTTAAAATGAAGATGTATACGAGTTTCCAGCTCAAAATCTCTCATTCCGGGATGCGATTTTACTAAATATACTGTACGCTAGCACATACCACGCCCACCGTTATATCTCATCTTCAAAGTACTTTACTTAGGCAAAACTCAGAGACTATTTATCCTTAACGAACTAACCTATTCCTGATTGCAATATTTTTGAGGAAGGAAAACCAGAATGGAGTGTAAAAACACATTGATCAATAATATATTTCAAAAATCAAGTTCTTCAACAAAATTGAATAAATTGAGACTGTTTATCCTAAACGCACTAACCTATTTGACTTCAAATATTTTCTGAAGAAGGAAAACCAGAATGAAGTCAAAAAACATTGGTGAAAAAAAAAAGTTGCAAACAAAGTACAAGTTCACAGCGATTCGAACCATGGACCTTCAGACTGAAAGTCTGGCAGCGCTAACCAGTAGACCGTTTGGGTATATAAATTAACTGCATACAAGAGATTGACAGCGAGAGAGCTCCAGTCGAATTCGTGTCAAAATCATAAAAAGTGAATTCTCGCGTTGGAGCACAGTATATTTAGTGCGATGTGCTGACTCCGAGTATATCGGTGATGTTTGGAGATATGACGTTTTACGGTGGGCGTGGTTTGTGCTAGCGTGCAGTATATTTAGTAAAATCGCTTCCGGGATTGCCCCTTTTTGATTGGCTCGAATAACTGGAGTATTAACCAACACGTACCGATGCTGTCGATGGAGATTGAGAGCAGGCATCGACACCCTCCTAGGCCCCATGTTCCCCTCCCCCGGAAAAACGATGTCCGGCTCCTTCTTCCTCGCTACCCCTATCGGGCTCCTGTGGCACAGCGCGTGCGCAATGTTGCCGAGCGATCTGCTCCTCGAGCTCGCGTCGTGCACGTCACATTTTTTGTTCGATATCGCCGGTTCCTTGATGACGACGCGAGGGTGTTTCGGGTGCGATTCCCAGCCGGCGGTACCGGTCGTACTACCGGCGGTGCCGGCGTCGATGAACAGCGATTCCAGGCGTTTGATCGCCGCCGCCTGGATTTCCGCGGTACTCGTCATGAGGCTGTCGGTTCTGAGAAGTAGAGTTCCTTATGATGGATTTATGCAGCAGTTTCAAGTCACAAGTTTTAAGTCAAAAGTTTCAAGTCGTAAGGGGAAAATGGCTGGGAAAAGAACTATCATATTATCATAAGAAGAGCACCCCTTCATTCGCTCATTTTGCTCATTGTTTACCAGTTTTATACATGTTTGCTTAAAACAGATGTAAACAAAACCAAGAGCCATAAGTTTTAAGTCGTACGAGATGAATGTAGGCAAACTCTTCTTACGACTTGAAACCTATTACTGTTTATGACGGCACTGGGACGAAATAGCGCACGACAAAATAGCGCAGGACGAAATAGCGCGGACAAAATATCGCAGGGACATAATAACGCAGGGTCATAATAGCGCAGGGACATAATAGCGCAGAGACAAAATAGCGCAGAGACAAAATAGCGCAGAGACGAAATAGCGCAGAGACAAAATAGCGCAGGGTCATAATAGCGCAGGGACAAATTTGAGCGCGAAAACGTAGTGCATCATCTATGATTGAGTTAATTCGTTTGTCAGGGCATAGACGTTTTCTTCAAATACTAGATGTTTCAAAAGGAGACTACCCTTACGAACGAAGTAACTTAATACTAGGTATGCCGTTGGATTGTTAAAGTAGACCTATGATTAGGTTAGTTTGTTTGCTAGGGTATAGACTCATTTTGAAACACCGTGTATTTGAAGAATGAGTCTTTACTTCAACAAACGAACAAACCTAATCATAGATCCTGCACTCCATTTTCTCGCGCAATTTTGTTCCTGCGCTATTATGACCCTGCGCTATTTTGTCTCTGCGCTATTTTGTCTCTGCGCTATTATGACCCTGCGCTATTTCGTCTCTGCGCTATTTCGTCTCTGCGCTATTTCGTCCCTGCGCTATTTTGTCCTGCGCTCTTTTGTCCGCGCTATTTCGTCCCAGTGCCGTTTATGACACGTGTATGAACATTTATATTGAAAAGCAATGACTGAACTTCCTAAGACTTATCACTTAATACTTACGATTTGAAACTTAAGGCTTAAAACTGCTCCGTAAATCCACCATTAATGTACAGTGTGTCCAGTTTTCGATGCTTTAGCGTGATATCCAGTTATCTTTGATGGAGATAGAAACTTGCTGTTTTCGCGGTCCTGTGCCACTTTTTTGTGAAACTCAAGAGGACCTGATCAGATTTTGCCTAACTGTTTCCGTTTAGGAGATACAGGGCGATTTTGAAAATTTTTAATTATTGACCCCCCTCTATATCTACGAAGGTTCTCAGTGGAAATGTCAAATCAGAATCTCATCTCAGTATTTCACGCAGAATCCAGGGGCTCACTCAAATTTCTTTTTCATGTATGGTTTTGCAGATACGACTCAAACTTATGATTTTTTAAATGGATCAACCTGTATTTGATGAACTCATTGAACTCCTTATATTTTTTTTATCAAATTGATATATGTGATGTATAGATATTATATTTTCAAAAATGCTCCAAAATCACCAAAACATTGAATTTTAATAGTGGGCTATGGATTTCTCATATAATTGGAGGATTTTTGATTTTTCCATGAAGAGGACAAAAACAATATCAACTCATCAACTAACAAAACAAAACACTTGGTAAATGTAAAAACAAACGATGAGATTTCCAAAAAATTCTTAGTCACACAACATGTTTCGCTAACGCAGTATAGCTTCGTCAGGTGAAATACTGGTACAATGAAATGAACTAACCTTGGATTGCCTAAACTTATATATATCCTACTTTCCCAACCTGAAGGATAAGAATTACATGTGGAAAGTAACACCCGAGTCAATAAAAAAAAAACTTGGTACCTGATAGCAACAAATGAATAGTAATAAAAAGTTCATAATGTAGAATTAGCACCGGATTAAATATTTACTAAAACAATTGAATTTCGAAATTATTCAGTAACTTATTCATTGAATTGTTCAAATTGATGTCCATTTTCCCTAACGACCAATTGACACATTTTCTCAATACGTCTTGATACAGTAAGAGGCACAACAACCTTGAAAAACTTCGTGCAACAACAGAGGCAGTTTTCCAGGAATTTCAAAGACATCATCCTTCAATGATTTTGAATACATTAAGACGTATTGAGAAAGTGTGTGAGGATATATGGACATCAGTTTGAACAATTCAATGAATAAGTAACTGGATAATTTCGAAATTCAATTATTTTATTTAATATTTATGCTTATTCTTCATTATGAAATTTTTATTACTATTCATTTGTTGCTATCAGGTACCTGAGTTTTGTGTTTTATAAGTTAATTAGTGTTGATATTGGTATTCTCCTCTACATGGAAAAATCAAAGGAAAAATTTTTCCAATTGGAACTTTTTTACATGAAAAATCCATAGCCCACTATTAAAATTCAATGTGTTAGCGATTTTTTACCATTTTTGAAAATTTCATATTCATACATTATATATCATTTTGAAGGGAACAAATGAGGAATTTGATGAGCTTATATACAGGATGTTCCATTTAAAAAATCATATGTTTGAGTCGTACCTTCGAAACCATAGCCGAAAATTAAATTTGAGTGCGCCACTTCTTGATTCTGCGTCTCTATGGGATAAGATTTCAATTTGACATTTTCGCTGAGAAACTTCATAGATATAGAGGAGGTCCAAAGAGTATTAATTTTCAAAATCATCCTGTATCTCATAAACGCAAAATCTGATTAGGCCATCTTGAGTTTCCCAAAAAAAGTGGCACAGGATCAAGAAAACCGCAAGGTTCTATCTCCAAAGATAACTCAGATATCACACAAAAGCATCGAAAACTGGACACACTGTACTAGACACTGCTGTATTGTTTTTTTGTATAAATATCACAAAACTCATAATCTTTATATCGTACGACTAGAACGCGCGATCCCATGGTTAAATACCAAATTTTCGAACAAAACATGGACATTGAAATAGGGGCCAAATTATATACTAATCACAGACTAACGTGGAAATATCGTAATACAGGAGAGGAGAGAAACTACTGAATGTAAAAGGTTGTAAATTATTCGTCAGGAGCTCCAAGAAGATGTATCAGAAGACCGCCCTTTCCATTCAATTTTTTCCCCAGATGGCGCCAAGTCGCCATCTTGAAATTTTCATCTGTCAATTTTACTCCAAAATATAGTATTCATGCATCAATTTTCAAAAATTCGTATAATAGTATAATATACCACGAATTTACACGCCGCTACTCAATGATGTTCCTGCTAGTAGAATTGTACTTTTTCTAGTACTTTTCCTCACTCACTGGTACGCTAGTACTAGCAACGAAAATTCAAGGCAATTCTAGTACAATTTTCAATTTTGGCCTTTGGGTACATGACGTCGCTTAAATTAATGACAAATGACATAACTTTATACCTTTTTTGACTGTTGATTTTGATCTTTTCACGTCTGGTCAGTTTGGAATGTTCATTTATCAATTGTTTCAGAGAATTTTATATTTTGTTCTCCATATCCCATTTTCCAACGAATGTTCCGAATTAATTTCAAAAGATGAATAAGGTCATCATTCAAAATTAGGAAATTTTGAATTACCCGCCTCAACGTCGTAGTATTCTGATGGCGCGTTCACATGCTGGCTTTTCGCCTTTTGACTTACAGCGTATCCTCATCTCATTGGCCGATTCGTCAGACAGCGCTTATCGAGGTCATAAGCTAGAAAGTCGGTTTCAGTCCGACTTTTGCGGAAAAAAGCCCAGATCGTTTGACAGGACCACACAAATATTGACAAAATGAATACATATTGGTGCTATATTATCATATTATGTAGTGTGGAAAACAGTACTGAAAAAACACTCCTAAAAATGTGATAAATGTGGTTTCTGGAGGACGTACATCTGAAATTTAACCAAATATGTGTCAGTCACCGTCACTTTTCCAACTTTCTCATGTGAACAGTGCGCCCGTTTTATTAAAGCTTTCTGCTGTAGGCATAAGCTGGCATGTGAACTCGCCATGAGGCTGCATTCAGACAACGTGTAGCACGAGAATGTCAAATTTAAATTATAGGAAAAGAATACTAAAGGCCAATCCAACCAGGATTTAGTAAATTGTTACGTCTCGATTGGCCTGAGTTCAAAACCTGATAGCGAATAATCAATTTCCTTAGATAGTACAGTTAAGCCAATTATGACGTCATCGTCATACTGGCGTCACAACAGCTACTACCTAAAAAAATTCAATAATGTAGTACTTTTTACTCGAATCTAGTACGAAAATGAGTTTAATTCTTAATTTTAACCCAGGAACATCTATGCCGCCACTGTTTATGGTTCACTTACAGTGCAGCTGATATATGATTTGTTCTGGCGCGTTCACATGCTGGCTTTTCGCCTTTTGACTTACAGCGTATCCTCATCTCATTGGCCGATTCGTCAGAAAGCGCTTATCGAGGTCATAAGCTAGAAAGTCGCTTTCAGTCCGACTTTTGCGGAAAAAAGCTCAGATCGTTTGACAGGACCACACAAATATTGACAAAATGAATACATATTGGTGCTATATCATCATATTATGCAGTGTGGGAAACAGTACTGGAAAAACACTCCTAAAAATGTGATGAATATGGTTTCTGGAGGACGTACATCTGAAATTTAACCAAATATGTGGCAGTCACTGTCACTTTTCCAACTTTCTCATGTGAACAGTGCGCCTGTTTTATTCAAGCTTTCTGCTGTAGGCATAAGCTGGCGTGTGAACTTGCCATTCGTCTGCATTCTAGTCGTAAGACATAAATATTATGAGTTCTGTGATGGATATACAAAAACGTCAAAACAGCAGTGTCAAGTACATTAAGGAACTCTACTGAAAAGAACAATGGTGAAATTATGCATGACTTTGAAAAGTTGCGGTAGATTTACTTCTCGATTTACTTCTAGGGACAATAGATGGCCAATCAGTGGTAGGATGCAAATCATC